AACTACGGTTATCTCATTTAGCCAACAGGATAGTCAATATGATGCTCCCCCTCTCTTCTAATTCAGTTAGGTTTGGACTAAGATAAGAAGTCCTGACTAGGTGGTGGTAGCCAGTGTGAATACAGTCAAGTGGTAGTAAGGCGTTACGAATTCCCATGGTAGTCGGGCAAAACCCATTGTGATTGAAGTGAGATAGAAATCTGGTCAGGAATTGGACCTCGTAGCTCAGTTGGTAGGGTCTCGAGCCGGGAACGCTAACGCCATGTGTAGAAACTACATGGCAGTATTTAGTTTTATTGAGTTTTTGCGTTGAAGTTGATCACTTTCAGCTTCCATCTAACGTAAGCCTACTTTAGCTGACATTATGCACCAAAATCGATGTCTGCGCAGGGGTGCGGCTTTACTTAGTCTTCTCAATGGCTGCAGGTTTGAGAAGTCACCCATTGACTTACCCTTGAAATGTACACATGCACATCTCTGCAGCGAGCTAAATCTCGTGTGGGGGTCAGTGGTGTTACCTGGTTATCAAACCTCGGTAGGTCCAGCGGGGCTCAAACCCGTGACCTATCGGTTAAAAGTTATCTCCCAAAACCAATGACCAACCGCTCAACTTTTCCTGTTGTCCTTGTCGAGTCCTTATTAACTAGCAGAAGGTTGTAAAGTTAGCATTGAGAGGTTAATCTGTAGAAAAGAAGAGAGTAAGGTTTCGTAGTCACGTCAGTCGCTATAAATAAGGTATTCACAGTTAATAATACTATCACTAGTTGACACTTCATATACACCATGCTTTCTTAACAAGGAATATCCGTCTCCCACGAAAATTACAAAAGTTTGCTGGGTCCAACTAGAATAAGAATTGTTCATAAATAATCCCAATATCAGGTCATCTCTACTTGATAGTTAACCATCTCAGTACACTAAATCAAATCTGTGAACACTCAGAGCAAATGGTGGAGTGACTATTCCAATCACGCACCCATTGTTCATTGATTGATTAGAAGTTTGCAGTACAAGCGTAAATGGTCAGCTTGTTGTAGATGTAGTATCAAGTTAGCTGTAGGTTATCTTTGTATGGAATACAACTTAGAATGTATGAAGTCAGAAACCCTGAATAAGGAAGTGAAACTCATCAATGAGACACTAAACCGTAACAACTACGCTCCGGAATTTATTGGAAACTTTATAAGGACTGATAAGAGAGGGAGTGGTAACGTTAGCGGATATTGGAACATGCCGGGAAGTGAATTCGAATCCTTTGTAGTGTTGCTGTATAGAGAAGGCACATTGTAATTTCTACATAAAATTCTTAACAATGCTGGGATTAGGATGGCACATAAATCCACTCAGAGAGAGACTTTGTGGGCTAAAACATCCAGTAGAGCAAGTAAGAAATAGCCCGACCTATCAAACACCACATAATGATTGTGAGGTCAAGTACTTAAGTCAGAGCAGCCGATCGAGGTCAGTCAGAATAGCAAAGCACAAACATTTAGCGAAAAAGTGCTAGACTCTACTGAGAGGAGCAATTTAGAGAAAAACTTGCCTATTGCTCTGCTTGCGCTGACCCATAATCACAGAGTAAGGTGACAATTCTAAAATCCAATATACTTTAGTGGAGCGAAAGATCGACCACAAAATCTTTGTTTATTGAATCAACACCTAACAAATGTAGCGAGAATGACTCGTCACATCCTTCAGACGCCTGGAAATGAATGAACTGTACGACTGTATAAAGAAAGTTTGAAAGTCGTTTGATTACTTTGATGAGGATATGATCAATAAATTACCCTCGAGGCATCATCCACTAAATAGTATCGTATCACTGCGTGGTATATAAACAATCTAAAGCGGAATTTATGCATTCTAATGTGAATCAAAAGTTGCGTAGCCAATCTACCAATATTTTGTTTCTAATTTCCCATCATAAACCTATCCCAAAATCCTCTAGAAATAAGATGCTTATCATCCAAGGATATTCTGACATATTATGCATTCAGCACTTCATTGAAAAACTCTGTTTTCCTTCATAACAATATCTAACTAGTTTGATGAAGGATCCTGACTAGAAGTAAAATATGTTAATATGCCCTCATACGTTCGAACCACAATGCGGCAGAGATTTCATCCGATCAGGACCTAACTAGTCTATGTGTGATTCCTCTTACCCTAACTTCGTTTCTTAAATAAGTCTATCGCAAATGTTCGAGGATGTAGTGTCAGGCATTAACACAAAGATACTGTAAGTTTGTGAAACCTCGATGCCACTGCGATCCAACCAATCCTAGAAGTGTTTGTACCAGAATAGACTTAATACAACAGCAGGTTGGTAGCCTAAAAAGAAGAGGAAACGATCGGATGCTTGAATGTTACAAACACCATGATTCCTATTTACCTCGGGAAGAATAACTAACCTAACGAAGTAGTCGCGCTTCTGGTATTATCATGTAGTCATGGTGCCGTGAGTAGTCCTGTTGCGGAATATGGTCCACGTTGCAAGATCCTCAATGATTAGTGATAACTATGAAATCAACAAAATTGGTATAAATATTGTAACAGTATAATACATGTACTGTAGTGTCATACAACCTATTGAAAAATGCTGCCAATGTAACTCCAGACACACTCGATTACCTGTAGATTAGTGGAGTTTCAGTGTCCCAGTCGTTAACAAAACAAGATATTAGTGAGAAATGGTCAAGTTCACTCTCAGACCTTATGTTTCGCAAAGAAAACATATGGCATATACGACTCCAATGAAAATTTGAGAGATAACAATAACAGTCAATAAATCATTCATCCGGCCTACAAAATATTTAGTGATTACCAGGTTGAGCGTAAAGCGATATCATCAACTATTACCCAAGAACCTAAACAGACAGAAGTAACATTCTGTAGTTCATTATTTCAACCATGAGGAATATCATTTCGTTTACATCCAAATATGTATATGTCATTTGCAAAAAGCGGACTACTAAACACCATTTAAAGAAACTACTAGTCATTGCATATAGTAAGTGACACACTACGATTCGTCCCTTTCTAAGTGATTACAGTTTTTATTAAGGACTAGTTGAAAAACCCATCTATCTAGTACCACCTGGATGCTTCAGAAGTACACACTAACTACAAGGTTACACTAATGGTATGAAATTTCAGATGAATCGGCAATACACTTTACGAAATATACATAATATCGTATAACACCAACAGTTTCGGAGATCAGTCAGTCTAAACACTACTCCATGTTAATAAGTTAGTCTCATAGACCCACATTTTCCCAGGGGTTCAAATAGTAGGTAACGATGGTTAACAGTCTAATGCCGAGAACATAATTATAACATTTCTCTTCACCAAAAAATGAAGCGAACACAAATACTCTACCTGTTCTGTTAAAATATTATCAAACAACCTATTTGGTAGACCGTAATTGCTTCGAAATCACCCCACACATACACTCCAAGTATAAAAAACGCGGACTCACTTCTTATAATACTCAAATGAAATACAATCTAATACTACCATATCATCACAACCCAGAGAATTTCAGAAACTTATGATGCATTTTCTGTTGAATCATCGTCAAAATGCCGACTAGGCACGCAATCAATAGTGTGCGACCCGCAAATAACAGGCAGGATCGACGGGGTAAGCGGACTTGCCATTGATGACCTAGGAGTCACCGATGGCAAAGATTACACTTTTAAGGAAACCACCGCTTTACAGTGCAAGACACAACCGCATACTGCACATGTGTATACTTAGCATATCAAACGAACCCGCCCTCAGTATGTGCCAGGGCGAACTGCAAAAGTAAAACTGGACAGAAAGTTGCTGATAAGAATGATTTAGTATCGAAGAAATCAGAATGAGCGAAAATAAGAGACCATCGGCGACTAGCTAAGATTCTTAGTCGGTTGTTTATTTTGTTATATATATATATATATATATATATATATATATATATATATATATGCTCGCAGGTAAATTGCCAACGTTTGAGATCAGAAGACGAATGAGCACGCAAAACAAACTGAAAAAGAGTAGTGGAGAAAAACGGAGAGAAAATATTAGTCTTTACTTTAAATTTAGTATCTATACAAATGAGCATAATATTTGTAGTTCTTGGACAAGGCAACAACTATGAAGTAGCGAACTCTAGTAAAGAGTTCCAGTTGAGATTATTTTTTGCGTCACAGAACATGATGCATTAAAGTGGGAACCTACATACATACCATTTAAAGAATCCAGATCATAGTGTCAATTGCAGAAAATTACTCCCCTTCCCATCTGCATGCAGATGAGATGAAAGATATATAACAAAATGAGAAGAATGAAAAGAAAAAATAACTGGAATATGTGTACAAAATTCAAGTGTGAAAGGAAAATATAAACACACACATACACATGCAAATAAATGTATGCACATGAAAAGAGCTTCATAAAAGTTACAGCGACTGTAAATTAGATTATATAAACACCTGAATACGTGAGCAAATGATGGTGGTGACCTATGCATTAACAATAATAATCGTAACAGTGATAATACATGACGGTGCACTTCACTCAATAATATACAAACACTTCAAAAGTGCAAAACTGCTGCAAACTGAGAACACATCTGTCTGTATGAATATATATATATATATATATATATATATATATATATATATATATATATATATATCCTAAGGTTAGTTATTTATAAAACAGTTGAAAGGATGAAGTGTCCAAAAAAATGGGGAGTTCATTAAATCATAAGGAAGATGGCAAAAAATAAACCCAATGGTCCAAACGGTCATAAAATAGGCACCAGAGTATTCTTTGTAAATCGATCAAGTGTATGTCTATCACAATTGAAAAGGAATAATTTAACGAAAAACAAAGAATAAAGAAAAACAATTTTTTTGAATTCTAAAAGACTGGACATAGAGAAAAGCAATGCTCCTCTGTAAATATATATCACGACTATGAACGAATGACTATGACTAATATGATTATCATTACTGCAAACATGAACCAAAATCCAAGTGTAACTGATTCACAATAGATTGATCGAATTCTTCTTCTTCATCCTCTGAAAATGTCGGCACATGAAAAACACCAAGACCTGAAACATCTAACTGGGGAAGTGGAGCCCACATTGCAATATTGCCCAATTCGGGAAGTTCCATATTTTTATCAGCTAGTCCAAAGCATGAATTGTTAGAATGAGTTGAAAATGCATCTGTTGTGCTAAACATCCCACCACCACCACCACCACCGCTAGAATAAACATTCGACACTGAAGCAGGCGCTGAATTTAATTGTGAAGACATACAAGTATCTGGCACTGAATCAGATGGTAAAGGTAAAGCATGTCTATCAAGTTCATGGGAATTTTGATGATTGGTACTTGTGGTTGGTAATTCTAGGGAAGAAGAAAGAGTTGTCATAGATGACCACTGGCTATCAGTACTAGGTGGGGCTGAAATCTGTCCAGATAATGATAAATGTAACTTATTTTGTGGAGACATATTTGGCAGCTGAGAATCCATACCTTCATTGGGAATATAGATTCCATTTACAATTTGTTTCGCAAGACGTACAGCCTCTGCATAGCCTTTCACTCTGGTTCGAGGATTATAAAGTTTGTCAAAGGACTCCTTAAAAGGATACAACTTTGCACAGCTCAAATACGAACATTGATCCCAAGCTAACCAGTCAACACGAGCAGTATAACCCGCCGCTAAACTTGGATCTGGAGGAGTTGCAAGAACAGCCAAAGATGACGCATTGCTATCTAACGACTGCGATGTGGGAAATAAAGTGGCTTGAGATAGCTGATGAGCAGTACGAGCCCAAATAGCATTCACCTGAGATGGCCAATAAGGATAACCAGCAAGTTTAGCCCAAACGATATCGCCCACACGTAAACCACCTGAGACCAAACTGAACGTAGGAGAAGTAGAGCTACCATTAGCTCCTCGAGCTCGTCTCGTAAAGTCTCCTCCTGGAGCATCTGCATCACACCAAGATTCCACAATACGAAAAGTTGCTGGGGTTGTCTTGCTCTTGGTTCGCTTACCTTTCCCTACATTGAAATCCAGAGCAGCATCTCGACGAAGTCGAATTTTCAGTCCACCAGAGACAAAAGCTGATGAGGATGGTAAGCTTTGAGAATGTTGGGTGTCTGGTTGGGGGATTCTTGGTTCGACTGTGCCATCATATTCAAGTTTGGAGATAGGGATAGGTGATTCTCCACACCCATATTGGGACTCAAAACACGATAAGAACTTGACACTGACTCACTTGTAGAACTTCGCTTAGACTTTCGATTGGTACGAACACGGGGTTGTCGATTTCTGTGAGGATGAGACTGTTTATCATTTAACGGTTGTGATCGACTGATTTCAGGAGCAGATGATGGAGTGCTATCAATTGGTTCAGATTTCTTTTGGGAAACCCTTACTGTCGTTCGTTTTCTAGTGGTTGATTTGGTATTCATTTTTGTTTTGGTAGCAGTGTTCAGTTCATAAATGAGTGATGAACATTTATCATTTTTAACTTCATTAAAAGTAGGACTTGCACATGTGCTAGTAATCTCAGTCATATTTGGACCAATAACTGGTGATGTATGACTACACAAACTGCTGCTTGTGTTGGTACATGAGGACATAGCTGCTGAAAGACCCTGGATACTACTAGACGTAGACGGGGATCCCATATTATAGGTCAGATTAGTTGGCGACGGACATCTCAAATGACCTGGTGGGATAGAGTTGAGACCTTGATTAGCACAAAAATCACTTCCAAAATCTAATGTCGTTGCTGCTGGAGTCAGACTATTCGACTTAATATTTGTCAGGGCCTGATCTTTAGCCATCCACATATGTTTGGGTTTTTGATAGCCACGTGTACGAGTACCATAAAGATCTTCTCCTTCTTGAAATTCGTAAACATTTACACCAAAACAATCAGTTGAATCAGACCCCAATGTGTTTGATTGCACGAATTCAGTTGATAAATCTTCATTGGACAACTGCAATGGTTTCATGAAAAAGTTGAGGCCTACAAAACAAATTACGTCAGTTAGAAAAATTATGTTTGTGTTCACATGACGACAACGATATGACTCTTACATGATAAACATGCAACGCTAAACAACTTAAATTGTTAGCAGAAGCTACTGCAAAATTTACTGGAAAAGTTGTGGCAGCTCGGACTGTTACGCAGTAATGCCTGGTCCTGTGCTGATATTGATGATGATAAAACACGAAATAAAAGTATAAATGGTCACAGGATTAAGAACAAGAAAAATTAGTACCCGATTCAGTAACCTTGTACACAGTTTTGTACTAAGCTAGTGGTTACACTCTGATGTGAGTACAAAAAAGAGTTTAAAAATACGTCAGTGATGCAGGTTCCAAATCCCTAACAGAATGAGTGATACTACAAAAGTGTAACAAACGCCTGGAAACTAACATTCTTCCAGTGTCAGACAAACAGAGATAGACAGACAAAACGTAGAACCTCTCATAGAAGCGCACTGCTTCAAGTTGTCAGACTTCAGAGCAGTACACAGAGATCAAGCGGATAGAAAAAAAGAATATCAAAACAGACAAAAATGTATGCGAGGAGGAATTTGAAAACCAAGATGTTCATCGCTTAAAAGACGTCAAAGAGTGAATACGTATGTGCTATTGTGACTGATTTCCAGACAAATCTCCAAGCATTTCCAATCATTGATTTCTATTACCTAAAGAACCCTGACTATGAAGTATGTACCTACCTACATGGTTCAGACCAACAGTCAGAGACTCCATTCACTGGTGTCACATTTTGGTCTGGTCACCCTCAGCCTTCTTACAACATAACCGTACTTCAGTTAACACTGAACATTGAGTGACTCACCATGTGTACAACATATGTCTAAACCACCTCAGTCGATGGAGGTTCACAACCAGATCAATCGACTTGGCTATCCTGCCTAGTCACCTTTGCCTGACCTCAACACTCCATACGTGTGAGAAATCCTGCGAAGACACTTGTGATTAAAAACTTAAAACCTCTTTGTCTTTCACCTTCAGCAGCTATATCTCGCAAACGTATAGCAGAACAAAACGGACTCCAGAACAGTGTACTCATTCATCGATAAGTAGTTGGATATCTCGCCAGCGCCATAGATGGAACGAGCTTAGAGATGCTAAACAAGTCTTTTGGACCAGACTTGATATTTCGTCCACAACAAACCGAGTATTTCCGTATGACAAGTATTACTGCCTCAGTAACGTTATACTAGCTCATGTTTCCTTGTGAAATTGTCTCAAGTCAGAATCACACGATTTCTTAGACAGCACTCAAGGAGCCTTGAGGTAGCAACAGATGCTACCCCAGCAGGAATATCCTTACACAAATTGATGGTTACCAATGAGTAAGTTATGTAGTTATCTAGATCTTAGTGTTTACCACTGGTCTAAGTCTGTCGATCAAGTTTTGTGATAAGACTACTGGATGAAGTGATACGATACTACGGTGCACTCTGCTTTAATATTAGGTAGCGGAAGTCAATCAGCTTTGTTGTCAAATTGCAAAACTTGATCTATAGACTAGAATCAACTAAAAAATCGACCACTGAGTGATGCAGATTAAAAGTACCTAGGAAACACTAGTTTTCTCATAGTTGGAGGTGTGCTTTGCTGATAAGTGTCAATAAGCTCGAAATTTGAATCCTTCCGACTGACTCCCAACCATGTAACAATGAATATTCTTATTCCTCCAGCACCACATCGCACACTGGCGACGTCTGATGACATATGCTCGAACAGTTCATTCTCGAGAACTCGAACAAACGAGATATTTTTCACGTTCAAAATCATTTCATAAAAAATAAAATATGAGTGACTCCGAAATGTCTTTGGAAAAGTTCACTTGTATACATGCTTGTCTAACAAAACTGCAGTTCTCAACTTTCAGAAGATAAGTGAATACTATAAGTGAATACTGTTACATAGTCCCCGAGAAGAAAGAAATCAATGATTGAGGACTCTTGATGACATCGATGAAAATCGGTGACAGTAACACAGATGTATTCACTCCCTGACATCTTTTAAAACTTGAATATTTGCACTAACCTTCATCTTTAGACTGTTCGTTCTCTCAGTCTTCTTCTATCCACCTGTTCTTTGTACACCCCTGTAAAGTGTGGCAACTTGAACTGATGCACCTGTGTCCGAGGTTCGACGTTGTTTTTGTCAGTTAGTCAGAAAGGTAGGCTACACGGTGAATAGTATTTTCAACTTTGTTAAAAACAATTCCCAAGATCATAGTCATGAGTGGAAAGCGGGGTTAAAACTAATAACTCTTGAGACCAGAGAGCGATCCAACAAGCTTAGGATTTAAACCTGAAAACTTTTTTAAAACACGAACAATCATCAAACTATCTTCTACTTATACCTTTAAGAGAAAAGCCTTTTATCTATAGGTGCACATTGCATGGTTTGTACACACTAGAAAGACAACTGATGTGAATCTGGTAAAGCAGTGTTACCAAGTAGAAGAGAAATTTGCCACAATATGTATACCAACCTTCATTACTTTGCATTTATGGAAATTTGAAGATATTGTTAGGCTGTCGTTAGTGTAAGCGAAGTGAAAGAAATTAACGCGAATTGTATGCCCTTCTAACTTAGTATTAATAATTTAGTACTCAGTATCGCATGTTACCCAGTTCGGTACACCACTATTTTTCCAAGAGAGAAAATGTAGTTATGAGTACAATTGTAATGCATCAAACAACTTAGATGCATTCCATACCGCTTCTGAATACACTGCTAGTGGTTTAAAACTGGCTCTTACTTTTTATTTTATAAGTTTACCTATTCTAGCCCATCTTACAAGAGGGTATTGGATTCTGTATGCTTGGATAGACCTGAGACCTCTCTAGATTTGATGGTAAAGTGGTACGTGAATCAGAGATTTTGTGACTGCTTGTTTATTTAGCAGACTACAAAGAGTAATATCGCATCAACTTGGACTACATTAGAATAAATTAGTACGGAATTAAACCGGATTACAACGCCTACGATCTGTTTGAGTGGTGCAAATCTCGCCAGCAACCCAACTTTCTCAGGTACAAGAAATTCCTTAACCTATGTAACATCGAAGTTCGGACCTATACGTCAAATAGCCAGAAAGTATCAAGATAGGACTTTGCGATGTGGAAAAACCACTGGACCAAAATGTGTAACCCATGTCAAAACCAACGAACCCGTTGTCTTGAAATGATCTCATTTGATGAGTGACTATCTCGATCACGTCGAGACGTAACGTGCCACCTCAAAATTACTATTATACCACTACCACGCAATCCTACGGAGGCAGTGGTGACTAAAGATGCAGAGACATCTAACACCTTTAGTTCAACAGATAAACTATCTAACAAAGAACCCGGCATTCCTGTACAGAGGTCCAAGCTGCCACACATACCAACAGATCAAGCGAAATGCACTGAGAAATGATGAAGAACCAGTTAAAAGAGGAGGAATAAGAGAATACCGAATGCAGTATTACGATTAAGATGAGGATAATGTGTGGATACAATCACGCGACTGACATCGATTCCGAGCCATATAACCAGCATTCTCTAGACCACTAGTTTGTTGCTACGTGGACCTCAACACACCAGTCTAAATTTACCTACACGGCTCAGACTAACAGCAAAAGACATCAAGGGCTGATCCCACGTTATAGCTTGGCCATCGTTAACCTATTCCCAGTCTAAACCATTTTCATTTAACACTTTGCGACAACGGAGACGGCAACTAGGCATGCATAACACATATTCCAGCCATAAGTCAATGAAGGTTTACAATCCCATCAACTGACTTTCCTTCCTAAAACTCTACACCTAACCTGCGTTACTCACGTGGTGACACCACGACAAACGGTCTATACTACGAAAGCAAAGGTAGTTAGAACAAGAGCCTTATCATACCATGGCCATGATTCATACCCCTATAGTAGAAAAAAGAGAAAAATAGCGCAGTACCCCCGACCGTTAACAGACAATCGGATATCACGGTGTCACAATAAACAGCACAGGTTAGGGGTAGTTAATCCAGCCTATTGTATCTGTGTGCTGATTTCATCAGTCACTGCCCCACCAGCGACTATTCGGCTGACCAGGTAGGTGGAGTGGTTAACGCTTTCAACCAATACACTACCTACTGTTAGATAAAAAACCCCTGAAGTCCAGTTCAGGAACAAAAACATTTGTATTTAATTTCGCGTGCATTCAAGTCAGTTAAAATATTTTAGAATATCTGAAGTAAATATGCTTTAATTACAACTACAATAAATAAGTCCATTTTTATCTTACATACATCACATTTCTTTCGAAAAATTTATCTGGCTTTCACCTTTACTAACGAGTTTGTGTAATGTGCTATCATGGAGAGGAAAATTCTCGCGTATATGCCACTTCGACCATCCTGGTGTTTCTACACAATCTTTACGAAAAGCTGCTTGCGTTTGATGACGTTACGTTTTAAATGCAACAGTGGCAGTGATGTAATCAGACATTTCAAGCCTAAAGAACAGTTGTTCATGATTATCATAATTATACTCGAGGAATAGTTGCATTTTTTCCAAATATCATCAATATGATGATGATACTTGTAAACCGGTATCTCCCATGATGAATTCATTGTATGAGAATAAAAATACTGTCAGCATTACGTTCTCTGCAAAAACTAGTCAAGTACATATTGGTGAAATAATACGCTTTGCTTCCATGAGGAAATAAAAGTTCATCGCTGATCTCAGCCGTACTCCTTTAGTGATGGATACTGCCGATTGATCGGCGAAGCCAAATGTTGCCTTTAGGTCAAAAATGCAATTAGTGTGCCTATATTCCAGAACCTGGAGGAGGGTGGATATTTGGTCGACACACCCATGACTCGGTTTGAAGCCCATTTTTTTTCGGGTCTGCTGTTTTCGAGCTCTTCTTAGAAGTGTGATAATAAGGAAACCTAGAACCTTAGAATATATTCTCTTATCTTCATCCTTCACCTCACTACCTTTCTACTTGATGTACTGTACTGAGCTGAGGCAACTCTGACCGTTACGCAGTAATGCCTGGTCCTATGATGATATTGATTGATTGAGAATATATGTGCGCCAAGCTGATTCTGCCGTGGTTATCACGGGCGGACTTTTTACCTATGTGGAAGACTAGGACAGTCAGTGATTGGGACCAATCAGAGATCATATATAATTCTCATACGCCAGCTAACGCTCCAGTTAACCCGACCAATAATCCACGACTACCCGCTTTATATATTTTTGGTGCTGGCTTATACGACCCTACACGTCAAATTACCACAGATATCCCGCTTGGTTGAATTTTCAATCTAAAGACTTGTATCGGGTAGTGTCACAACGAAAACAGAAAAATGAAGATGTTAAACCTATCGCGAAAATAAATACATGTGTCGTGATTACCATATGGATAGATGGACTAATGAGCTTGCAACTCGAAGAGGAGCTTGACAAAATAATCTCCGTCAACAGCATCCTTTCATGTTATCCACTTCGATGATTTTGACACGATGGAAAAGGCTTGTAGCTCAGGATGAGGATGATGGCAGTTTTGTTACCTATAAAATACCAAATCTCACAGGGTGATTCCGGAGCACTGCTGACTGAAGTCAAGTGTTTACAAAATTATCTACGATAGGAAAATGGGAACTCTCCGGCTATAATATACGACCGGTCGTATTATGAAATTGCAAAAAAAGTGTTAAGTGTGTTCATTCCCAATCTGTTAACGCATTCTCTTGAAGTCAGCTTGCCGAAGGGGTTAAAGTGTGTTAACCTTCAGCTAGTCTTCAAGGGCGGGGGGTAAATGAATAGGCCCGAGCAATTACAGACCGAAAGTGTTGTTGTCAGTATTTCCCAACTTGCTGGGAGGTCAGGTGACAGATGCTGTTTGGAACACCGTATATAAAAATAAAATCACCCAACACGCTTTTAGAACCAAGAAGACATATACTATAAACCTAATGACTACTTGGAACAATCAGACTACCAGCCGGGACAACAGACAAGCAGCTCATGTCATCTTCCTGAACCTAGCTAAGGCCACTGATGATAGTAACCCACGTCTCCATCCCAGCTAAGCTTACAAAAGTGGACACCACTGCTTGGTCCGAAGAGCACCTAGGGGGCATAGTTCTGCATCAAGTTAAACAGAATTCAACATGCATTCATGGGCTCATGAAAAGCTGTACCTAGGGGAGCTATCCTTACGCCATTTCTGTTATTGCTAATCGTGAATGGCTTCCTCATGAGTGTCTCCTTACACTCTTCTATTTGCCAATGATGTCAGACTACGGAAGATGACTCTAAGATACTCCAACACAACATACTACAGCTACGATCTTGAGCAGCTGAAAACGGCTTCAGTTTTAACCTACAGAAGTCTAAGATAATAAATCGTCGAACACCTGAAGTGGTCAAATTCGGTCATACCCTTAGCGCCCATGCAATCATCCAAGTGCCCAACGAGAAGAACCTAGAACTTTGATATACAATGCACCAGTACCAACTATGATGATAGTTACAGAAAACGCCAACGTGCACCTTCTAAGAAAGTAACTTTGAACCTTTACCCGTCGTTGTTACTCACGGTTTTCAAAACCAGCATCAGATCACATTTGGAAGTATTTAACACAGCGGCACCCCACCATTATGCCAAATACTGTCTAGGTCGAGAGGAAGGGAATGAAGTCAGCTGTCGAAGAAGCAGGTTATATTTGCAAGCTACATCTAAAACAACCTGATCCGTTCATCTGGAATTATCCTAAGACGAGGTGACAACCACAACTTATAAAATTGTTTATCAAGTAAATTACCCTAACAGGACAACACTATCGGTCGAAGAACGAGTCATGTGCGAACTCAGTCACCATATCCAGGTAGAGAGCTAGGACGATAGTGCAGACTAACTTTTCTGTCAAAATACGCACGTTATGGAACTCCCTGCAATCAGTAACAACAGTCGTCTCAGCTAACTACTTTAAACCAATTTCGGACAAACACACAAGTACATATCGCTTACCAATAATACTTGCTCACTGACTCCTTTCCAGCTTTACTCCAGCGTATGCACGAAGCACCATCTCCCACTATACTGGTACTGACTTTATTATTGTCAGTATTACTACAAACCGACTCTCTTCCCCCTTTTCTTTTACTGCCCACTCCACCAGTCGATGAAGCCTCACCGTTGGTGTGAATTGTGTGGGGAGATGCAGACCAACTCGTCGGGGTACCCGAGATGACAGGAATGAGTGGTTGAGATCTCTTGCTGACACCGCTGGAACTTGGTCACTATGGCACAGATGTATTCACTCCCTGACTTTTTTTAGGCTTGAATACTTGCACTAACCTTTATCTTCGAATTGATTATTCTCTCATACATTTTCCACCTCGACATCAGCCTTCCCCTATCCACCTGTTCTTCGCATACGACTGTGGTAACTTGAGCCGATGCATTCGCAACAGGTCCCATGTTCCTTTTGTCAGTCAGCCAGTCACTGCCTACTACCAACCACAGATCTAGTCTTTCACAACTTAGGTTAACAATAACACTTTCAGGTGTCTGTAAAGGAAAAAGCTGCAAATAATTGACTTTACTGGCAACTTTCTAACCCCTCCAAACACCTATCCTACAAACCGCAAGAGAAAAAGTACAAGCAGGAAATCGTTGCCTCCAAGCTATACAAAGATAAGTCGAAAAGTCTGTTGCACCCACAGGTGTGCAACCAAACAAAATGAACCAAGCCCCACACTGAGAATCCCCTGCTTCATCAAAAATGTTCCTTTTATTACACGTAAACACAAGGATCCATGTTTGCATTTTACGATACCGCTGATATTCAACAATAATCGTAGTAACGTACTCTGGGTACAACTACCAGTATCTTTTGTTCCCGGCCTCTAGCACAATGAGTGGAGGTGATTGGTTCAATGTGAATGCTAATTGTCTCAGGTGGACAAAGAAGACCGTAAGATTTACACAGTCAACGAATTTCTCACGAAATTTAATTATATATCAAAACCTTTTGTAAACTTACCTGTTAGTAAGGAGGAATGGTTTGCCTTTATTATTTTACGGAGACGAATGGTGAGTTCTTATTGCTAACATGGTAGTGAAGGGAATATGATTGGATCAAAATACACTACCTAAAGTCGGATATGTTTAAACCCACACAGATCACAAACAAGTCTAATAGCCGTTAACAGCATAAACTCAATTACTACTTTTAGGCTCACAAATGGTGCAAACTGGCCCTCGTGCAGTAATTTACAAGTAAAAGAACCATGCCCACTATGGGTACCTGTGTAAAACGCTTGGTGTGTCTTGTCAGCACCATGAGCCAAATGAACTAGCTTCTAGTTTGATAACTTTCTGGTAGCATGGAGCCTTAACCAACAAGTGTTCAAGTCAGCAATTCAAGTATATCACTTCCAATGCGTTTGTGTAACCCGACCTATTTCCCTTCTCATCAGAAAACAGTATTAGCACCTTTCATTGATAATTTTAAAATGTGATCGGATCTTCACAGTACTACTGATTGTGAGCATGATCCCAAATCGTTCAAACTGTCTCTTTTCAGTAAGCTGTATCGAAATACAAAATTCATAGCGTGCTGGTTAGCATTTTGCAGAATAAGTCTGCAATATAAATATTCACATATCAAATGTCTTTTTCTTTAGCAATGTCACACCAATGCAGTTGGTTCCGGTATAAACACTATGCCCAAAATAGACTACTATCAACATAGGGAAGCGTATATCTAAGGATCACTTCTTGAGTTACATCTATAAAGATCTATTTGTTCTGAACGCATACATCAAATTGTGGTGCGAAATTCTTTACATGCCAAAAAAAGAAAACAACAGACTTTAGTAGAGACAAAGGGTAAGTACTATCATCTAAGTAACAGTTATCAATAAACGACATAATTAAAATTACCTCAGTGATAAGTGACTGCCAGTAAAGTTATAAAGCAATCACTCCCATAGAGGAAATTACATTAGCCAGATTTCTTAGCTAATGTTAACTAAGAACTGATAACTCCCGTGGATCAACAAGCCTTATGAAATCTTTACGACTGTGAACACCAAAACAGCAGATAACATTACGGGCGCCAACGTACGCCACTTACTCAGACAAACAACAGATTAGATTTCAGGGAACAACACCATTCTCTCAAAGACTGGTTGTACCACTAAGGAAAAACCTGATGACAATCTACTCAGGCAGTAAGCTAAGCATCTGTTTGAGTTTCAGTCTTCAGTTATAAGGATAGTAGGCCAGTTGGCTAATGCTAATCCTTAAAGAAGATATCTCTATGAAAATCTAGTTTCTCCTTGTACACGTTGACAGAAGGTGCTGATACCACTTGCTGAAGTAAGGAGTTCCTGTCGTCGGCCACATGATGAGAGAAAAGCAGATTCACGCTAAGTTGATTCGATCGCGGCTTTTGAATTTTCTTGTGATGCCCTTGGAAATAGCCAGTCCTAATAGGGGACAAAAGATAGGACATATCAGTACCGAATTTATTATTAAGAATACGAAATGTCAATATGGGATCACCCCTTTTCCTACAACAAGATAGTGGGAATAAGTTTAGCTGATTCAGTCGTTCCTCAGAGGATAGATTCGAAAGGTCTGCCACAAGCTAAGTGCCTACCTTTTATCACGTTATTTAAGTAACGAAGACTGAAATACTCATTGCGCATCTTGCCTTAATCATAAGGCTTCATCTTATATCCAACATCTTTTAGGCGAGTATGGCGAACAGGCGTTTTTCCAGTCTCATATCTACGTTTTCAAGTCGATATCTTTTCTTCTGGTCCTGCTTCTCCAGATGACATGGGAGTTGTTTCCGTCTTCCTACACTCAAATATTGTAAATGTAATTGCTTTTTGGTTGTTCTCCTCTTTAGCTTGCAGACATGGTGCGTTGGGAAATCATGGAGGCCCTTAGAAGAGCGATGGCCTTCTTAAAACCCCCGTCTCCCCGCCAGTCTGAAGTCGTTCGAGTTGGTGTAAATAAGGCAACAAGTAAAAGAGAAACGTTTGATGTAGTAATATTGAGTACCAGTAGCAGGTTAAAACTGACGAAATGGTCAAATGATGATACGTAAGCCCTAAAGTGGGTTGTGGAAGATGGAGACCCCTCGTGTGTGTGAGATATGGGGCCTGTGTGCCAACAGCCTTTTGAATGGTTAGTGTTCATCATGAACTGGGATTAGTCGGAGAGATGTTGAAGACCTAAGGGCGCTGGACAGCCGTTTCATCTAAGCATGGGACTCCTCAGCAGCTCACGTTCACGACCCAGAAACGGATCGAACCTAGTACCTCCGGGTTCCGCTGCCAACGCGTTATTATGAACCACTGGGTCACAGTCCGATGATCTATACTCCTCAATTCTGTCAGTCCAAGACAGAGTGCGACCTCCGTCTAATGCCATTGTTTAGCATCTGAAATCAACGAAATCCCCGGAAGCTTCCAAACTGAATTACCGTCGCACTCGCCGATGGGTGGCTTCAAGAGAAGTTCCAACGAGAAGTCTTAACCAGCAGAGCAAACCGGGTTTAATATGTTGACAGGTACTCAACAAGTGAATTGGATAGAGTTGCAATATATCGTTAACTAGTAGAAACAGGAGATACTGACCATCGGATTCCGACGTGGTGGCTCAGAGGCAACGTACTGGGCACGAAACTTAAACGTCCTAGGCTCTATCCCTGGTGGGGTCGTGGGCGCTCACCGATGAGGAGTCCCATATTAGGATGGAACAGCTGTCCAGTGCCCCTGGGCTTTTAGTGTCTCTCCAACTAATGCTAGCACATAATGAATACCGACCTTAAGTCAATGAAGTTCCCACAACCTTCCAACTTGAATGTTATTTGTTTTCATTTTCAACTTCGTAATGCATTGAAAAGCAATAACCATTCATTTTGTCCGACTACACCCAACTCGCTTGTACAACCGTAATGAAGTTCTTGCTTCGATTGGTATCACCAACGTATTTCGTTTTGGCCAGAAACTACAGCAGCCATCGAAATTGAAGGTTTGTAACTGAATTTTGTGCGTACATTTTGCTACAAAGAACAATTTTCGCAGGGTTCACTTACTGTTTGAGCAGACATTCGTTGTTTGACAACCAAGTGGTTTGGATTTGGTTGGTTTCGCCTTGGGTTTAGGAACAGTGGAAATCAGTGTAGTCGTTGTGCGCTACTCAGTGGACCTGTCGCAACACAAGCTCTCCAGTTCATCTCCGCTCCTTTGGTCGACGATTTGTATCATTCTCCTTTGGAAATAGGCCTCGTTATCGGGGATATTCTGCTCCTTCCAGTGTGCCTTCTGATCGCAGAAACCAGGCTTCTAAACGAGTTCATAATACTGGATCCGGACACCGGAGTAAAGTCCTACTCGTGGATAGTAACTTGGAATTTTACAGTGAAGGTAAGATGAGCGTCGATGGTATTAGTGTGCACTGTTCATGCAGTTAGCATAATTATGTTAATAATCAGACACCTAAAAGTTTGTTGGAGGAGAAAAAGGTAGCCCGGTTATTTGGTATGTTGTTGTCAGATCTCTCCTACCTGCGGCTTGTTCTGCTTCATTTGTCGATGTGTCTTTTGTCTTTGCGCGCACCCTTCTCCACTTCTTTGTCCAGTGTAGTGTTTTATAAACTGTACTCAGTTCCTTGTTCCGTTGTTCATGCCTGCACTGCTGTGGTTCATCTTCCGCTTCGCCATCTTCCTCTCCGCCATCAGCTTCCATGTGTCCGTGGAGATCCGTTCCTTGTCTTACTTCTCCCTCATTTCTTAACACGGTTATGCAGGTTCCTTCTACGTCTCTTTCTCGGAATTCCAGTGCTATTCCATCCAGATTTCTCCAGGAATGTTGCCTAACGTCTTCCTTTTTTTTCCTGATGTCTGATCTGAAGGTGGCTTTTGTGGTTTCATCCCTAAGGTTCTGTTCTGGGTGTTCAACTTGAACTATGGTCTATCACCAACTTCTATGAAGGCTTTCAATGTAATTTTGAGGGTAGGTTCCTTGGACTAGATGGTGAGTAGTGTGAACCTACATCTGTTCCCCATCTTGATCTGATCTTGTGTCCAGTAGGCTGCTTCTCCACTTTCTTCACACTGAAATGAAGTCGATCTGATTTTCAGTGGGGTATGTCCATCTGGTGAGACCTATGTCACTTTGTGAATATCTTTGTGTTCGTACACACTGCCTCCGATCACCGAACCGCTGAATGCTAGGAAGTCTGCAAGTAGTTCTCCATTCCTGTTCAATTAGCCGGGTGCTTCTTGACCCATGATGAGTTCCCTTCCTGTGTTGTCCGCTCCCAGTTTAGCATCCATGTCGCCCATTAGAATTCTGATGTCGCCAACTGGAGTGGGGTCTTACCCAGTACTGATTGCAGGTGCCTGTGGAATTCCTCCCCATTCCCTTGATCCGCATCATTTTTAGATGCATAACGTACCATTGTATGATTGTGACTTTCCTTCCTTTTAATTTGAATCTTGCTGTCATGACCCTGCTGGAGATCGGTTCCCGTTGCCTGAGAGCCTTTGATGCTCCAAAACTCAGTGTGCTAGCGACTGTCATCTGGCTGACAGTACTGGATTAGGTTAGTGACACTGCAGTTGACAGTTTGGAGAGTCCATTTCCATTCCATCTGCTTCCGCGGATCCCTAGCACTTCCATATTATGCTTTCTCATCTCTTCGGCAATCTATGCAGCCTTGCTAGCCTCGAACATAGTGCGAACATTCCGTGTTTTCGTGTTTACTTTCGCTTTCATCGAGAGAAGAGAAGACACGTCGGTCAATTGACTTCCCGAAGGCTTTCGCCAACTGGCGCCATTTCGTCTCCCTGATTCCAGAAAGGAATAAGTTTATTTTATGTTCCATATTCTCTTTGTGCTTTGAAGGTTCTCTAGCGACTGGGTTTGCTTTACGGGGTAGGGGTGCTAGCCCTATGACCAACTTCCCCTCCTTATCCGGGATTAGGGCCGGCTAGTAACTAATGAACTAGCTAACTAGGTGAGGTTAAACAATGCTGTTACACTGTGCTATAAATCTAACAAATGAATAAAAATGGAATTGCATTCTACCGTAGTGCACAAGTTTCACTCTCATATTAACAACATTTCCGTCATGTAACTTGGTATATATGAGTGCACGCAAAATTTACGGGCATGATCTTGGGATCTAGATTTATAAACGCAAAAACTGATTGTCTGATCTGGTCTCAAATCAATTCTTGGAAAACCACAGACCTTTTGGACGTGAAAAGAATATCTATTCATTCCGTTCATCTCATGTAATCTTCTTTCAAGATCAAGTGTTCCCTTTGACTTACGACTTCGTTAGTCGGAGAGCTTGTAGTCAGGTTAGAGCTGTCTTCTGTTGCTCACACATCTTGGTGGCTAGAAAAATAGTTCCCAGGTCTTAAATGGAAATATGAATTTTATTTCAGTACAAACTTCACGTAACCTCGCCTGGTTAACTAGTTCACTAGTTACTAGCCGGTCCTAAGCCCAGGTAAGGAGGAAAGGTTGGGCATAGGTCTAGCAACCCTACCCCTGAAAACAAATCTAACCACTAAAGAAACTTCAAAGCACAAACGAAATATAAAAAGTAATAACAGAATTATCCCTCGCTGGAATCGGAGAGGCGAAATGACGCCAGTTGGTAAAAGCCTGACTTCGGAAAGCCAATTGGCCGGGCCGATGTGTCTTCTCTTCTCTCGATGAAAGCGAAAGTAAACGTGGGGACATGGAATGTCCGCACGATGTTTGAACCCAGTAAGGCAGCCCAGATTGAAAAGGAGATGAGAAGGTATCACAGTGAAGTGCTTGGAATTTGCGAAAGCAGATGGAATGGAGTGGACTCTCCAAACTATCAACTGGAGAATCAATAATCTACTCCAATTTTGTCACCCAGACAACAACCACGAGCACACTGAGTT